GGATTTTAGATTTCGAGATATTTGTTTTCGAGATTTTGAATCTTTCGAGATTCTGAGTTTCGAGATTTTGGCCTTTCTATATTTTGAATTTCGAGATTTTGTAGCAGACCCCGATTTCCAACCTATGAATTGATCAGCGACATCAGCTCAGGTGTCAAAATCAAACGACTGGGACTTAAGACCTTATTGGAAAGGACAAGTCGCGGAAAAGTCTTGGTAATTGTGGTTACCTATCGTGACCAACTCTGCCGGTTTGCCTTCGACCTCATCCAGCATGTATTCTCCCTCCACACAACAAACTCGTGGTTCTCTTCAATGTACGACCTCTGATGAGCACGAACTTTCCCAGGATATCCTTGCGATCAACACTGTCTTCATCTGTCAAACGCAAGGAAAAAAGCTATCATACATCGACGAGAACGTCAAAACAGGTGCAACAAGCAGGAAGAGGAAAGGCAGTGCAACAAGGGCACGCACCAAATGAAAACGTTCAGTAGAAAATCTCAATCGTACACTACAAGTCAAGGTGTGCCCAACCATTCTCAGTAACAATTATTGAAACGTTGGATGGAATTGACGAGGTTTGATTATAATTCTGTTGTAAGTGGAGCAAAAGGTGTCATTTCACAAAGGTAGATGACATCAAAGAAAAGAAATATATAAATCCTATGAATTATCAACCAAAACTTCCTTTATTTAGTGACATCTGAGCTGGAATAAATGTTAACAAATTAAAGAATAAGTAACTTATTAGTCAGCTATCTGGGTAAGAGAAATTCTTGAGAGCTGTAGTTCATTTTGAAATGTTACTACGCGGAATTTTAAATGTTGCCGCAAATATAATTGATCATGAAGCATTAACTGCAAGAAATGAGGTTATTAAGCTCAATACTCAATGTGCACTAGAGGTTGGAACTGGTTAATTTTTATCCGGTTAATTAACCAGTTAAAACGGTTAACATTTTAACCGGTTAAAATAGATGAATTTAAATCCGGCCGAAATTCAATTTCCGGCCAGAATTAGGATTTGTATGATTGCAAAATATTGTCTAACTCTGGCCAAATTTATAGTACTGGCCAAAGTTAATTTTAACCGGTTAATTAACCAGTTAACAAATATTTTAACCGGTTATTAACCGGTTAAAGAATTTTCGGCTGGTTCTAACCTCTAATGTGCACAAATGAATCTGTTAATTATTTATCATTTCGAACTTGTAAAGATTTACATAAATTATTACCATCCCATCTGTTGCCAAAATATTTCATCTTCAATATTGAACCATTTTTATATCACTTACCTGCACATTCCATCAATGTATACTTCACATTACCACAAGCCTATCACAAAAAACAGTAACAATCGTGCATTATGGCCTCTTCATTTTGAAAAGAAACGTAAATAATAAATAGCTTATTCTCCATAAGGTTTCTTGTTATAGTAAGCTTACTTAATTTTACTAAACAAGTGAGTGGAAATTTTTATGAATCTATAAGGTACAAAAGCATCTCTCAAAATCCAAGCAGTGGTATTCATGTAGTCTTTTTTGATTCTAAGGTTAAAATAGAGCTTAGTAGACATGCTTATATCACACTATTTGAGTCATTTTACCAATCATATATATTGAAATATCACATTATATAAAATCAGCTGATCCAAAATTTAAAGCTTCAGTTGAAACAGCATATAATTAAGCAAATATTACAAATTAAAAATTAGATATTTTGGCTTATGTATAATATATTTCTAAAACAATAAATCAAGATCATGTATTTTATATAAGTTAGCTTAAGGCTGAAATAATTAATTAAGTAATTTACATAATAAATTAATTATTTTAGACTTCAAAGGTTTGGGTAAAGTCACATATGCAAGGGCAAACTATCCCAACTATTATATTTCCTAGCTTAGGTTTTATAGAATATAATATAAAAATATTACAATAAAATTTTAAATAACATAAAAGTTAGCTTTGAGATAACTTTTTGAATATTTCAAATATAAATCATATTATATTTAATTTTGGCAAAATGTTGCTTCTAGCATAACTTACCCAATAATAATTATATTTCGATAAAATTTAATATTTTATTTTATTATATTAAAATGCAGCTACTTGTAAAAATTTAACATATATTATTATGTAGGATTTCCAATCAGAGCTTTTGTATATGTGATAAAAATGAATAAATGATCAGCAAATTAATCGGCAAAATGTGATAAAATTAAGCATGTCCGCTATGTTATTCACATGGTACTCTCCAACTAAGGTGTAGATAAGATTGGTGAATATAACATTGGGCGTATTGTTCGTCTTTGCATTTATATGGACAAATCAATATCACAAAAAAGCAAGTTTAATAAGTCAACTTTCAAACTCAAAAAAAAAAACTTAATAATGCAGTGGCATGTATGAAGCGAAAATTTTTCATCTGCAAAATGAAATACATAGAAAAGCCGTTTAATTTTTTACTCATGAATTTGTTGCTAAAATCATTCCACATTTTGAAGTATTAAATTATGTCAAATAGAAAAACAAGAAAAGTTACATGAAAAACAGTTCGGCAAATGTTTGGTTGGTCACGTTATCAATTTCACCAACGTTAGTAGCCAAAGCAGAAGAATTAGAAGTTCACATCATTATTCAAAATGAAGCTTATTCCTCTAAAACTTGTGATGTGGAAAAATTCAAAAGATTGGAGGATCCGAGATGTATAATTTCCAAAATAATAGAATTGTAATAGATCAAGATAAAAATGGCGTCAGTAAATCTTTCTCTAGGCTTTGCCTTGATTCTCTCTAGAGATCATTTATTCATTTACTTAGCAATGCTTAGTGTTACCTATTATTGATGTATTACAATCCATCTACAGGAAATTGAACCTTACCGTATTTTGTATATCATTTTGTCATTATTAGCCTTTAATGAGATCCATTTCTTTTAAAATAGACTAGTTCCACCATCTTTTGGTACTTTTTTTATAAGCAATTATAATTCCTATATAATTGTGTTATCAACTTAGAATAATGGTCGTCAAGTAATAAAACGCAATAATATTTTCGGTCATTTCTGTCAGTTCTGGGTTCTCTGACATTTCCTAACTAAATGTCAGATCAAGAGAATAGGCTGTTTTTGCCTTTTCAATCATAACTAATTATCTGTTTAAGAAGGATTGAGTGAATTAAATATACTTACGTTTTGTTTTAGTTTTAGATATCTTTTCATGAGCCTTATTACATTTCTTGTATCTATTGTTTGATAAATTGATCATATAATAAAACTTTCTCAATCAGAGAATTTAACTTATAAACCTCGTTATCTCTTTAACTAACCAAATTTCAAAATATGTAAACTCCCGTTTCCAATAGAAATTTGACTCTTCTTAAAAAAAGCGTGGTACAAAAAAAGACATTGTAGATCAATTCTTTCACCGATTACATGGATCAGAAAAAAGAAGATTTCTATTTAAAAAGACTTAAAATTGTTTTAAATGCATTTTTTTGATCAATGATAAATAAACTTCAAATTATTTGCGAATTAACAATACTGTTGTATTCAGTTCTTTCATTTATGTATTTATAAACAATTTGTAATATAAGCAGAAGGATTTTAATGAATAATTATTGAATAAAATGAAGTAATTGTGATAAGTATTTATTTAATAATATCAAATTAATCAGTGTTGCCTCAACGTCGGCGCTCTACACTTTCACTATATCAATATATTAAACTAAGTAAATGCCAGATTCTAAATCCTAATTAATTAAAACTGCGCAAATTACGAAACTGTTACATAAAAATTGAATAATAGAATACTAATAAAATCGGAAATTAAAAATAAAAATAATAACCGCTATTATAAATGCGAAATTATAAAATTAAAAGGGCGAAAATCGAAATTATCGCGAAGATGTAAAAGGAGGATTGCGAAGGGAATGATTTTCAAAGAAATATATTAAAGGCGAGCATGGGATATTGAGCTATTCAGGATTTCCGGCTCATATATATAAAAGATTTTTAATTAAGCCATCCTGGAATTTTGATCATTTGTCATACTGGCACCTTGACAAACTGGCTTCTTGACAAACTAGCGCCATGACATCCTGGCAAATGATCGTCAAAGGGACTAACTATAATAATCATGAACGATTTTCAAGCGAAGTTATGAGGATTTCGGTCAGAATTACATTCAACTGTAACAATACATTATAATAAATTATGATGATGTCACAATACTGAATTTTTAGTCATAAAAAGAAATCTTTTTCAAAAGAAATATAAATACAGTCCATCCTTTGCATTTGAAATATATATATATTAACTAAAAATTAATAACCACAATAAAATTTATTTACTCGATAATCTTCCATAATTTAAAATAAATTTTATTTTATAATGGAAGCACGAACGATACCAACATTGGAATGACAGCACCTTCAATTATCCAATGGCCAGAGAATACCACTCGATCATTAATTTGTAACGTCGACATCATCACCGATTGTGAAAGTTCCAGGAGTCATTCTGCTTTATGGACGAGTATTTCAGACGGTAATTTTAGTCTTAACAGTGGTTCGAAAACCATAAAACAAAAGAGCAAGGTTACGAGAATTCCAGACGCTTATTACGATGAAGGATATATGGGTACAAACACGTAAATAATTACTCAATTATAATTCATTATTTTAAACGTGATAATATGTTTACAACATTTATTTTATTCTTTAGACCGACTCGGACGAGATTTGCATGTAGATCGACGTCGAACGAATACCGCCAAAAGAAGACCTCCTCGATCATGTTCCCGTTCTCATTCGCGATTATCGTTTCTCCAAGATTCGACTCCATTTCGATTTCGATTAATCGAATATATAATCGATTCATTTAGTTAGGTGCCTGAGAACACTCTAAATAAATTAAATCCGGACAATAAAAATAAAATAATTAAATTAAAAAATATTAAAAATAAAATTAAATATTAGAATGGATGCCAATGGTCACGGTCATGACCGGTCATAACCGTGACCGATATCGATAGGTCAAAGGCTTCTGAACAAACCGGTCGGTCAATGGCCTTTGACCGACCGTTGACCGACCACGACCGACCGTTACCATCCTCCCTACGTGCGATTATAAAAAAAAAATTTTTTAAAAAAATCGCGGGGCGAACATTAAACATTAAATGAAAAAAAAAAATTTAAAAATAAAAACTGCGGTTATAAAATAATTTGTATTATTTTTTAATTTTCTGTTAATTTTTAATTTTTTTTTATATCTTCAAACTTTTTTTTAATATATTACATTTTTTTTAAAAAAAAAAAAATCAATTAATAAATTAAATTTATCAATTAAAATTACATCAATTACGAGTTAATGTTAGAATTGGATTAGGGTTAGAGTTAGAGTCAGATATGATTTATAAAACGATGATTTAGTGTTAAGATTAGGGATAGTTTAGAGTTAAGGTTGGATTATTTATAAAAAAATATCAATAAATTGTATTACTTATTTTAAATTTTGATATGCTAGAACCTTAAAAAAATTATTTCACGTCATGTTAGCTACCCCCCGGGTAAAACCACTAGTTTAATGATAATAATTTATCGCGAAAATCAATTCTTTTTAATAATACTATAAAATTTATATCATTTTACGATTTAATATTTATTAATATTTTGCTTGTTAAATTATTGGACATGAATAAAAAAAAATTTACATTCGTTATTATATTATGTAACTACAATCTAATACAACTTCCACTTCATATACAGTAGATAGGCGCTTTTTAATGTGCAGAGCATTATGTATGTCCAATTCGATTTTTTATACGATTATCGATTAAAATCTATTTCGATTCGATTTTCGATTAATTCGATTTTATTAGAATCGATTCCAATCCCTACATCAATCGCGCAGCAGGAGATAACGTTCATGTTCTCGTTCCATATAAAGCTTATAACATTTAATTTAGCTTATTTCCTAATGAAAAACCTTTAACTTAAAATAAAAAATTCGTAAAGTATCAAATTGTTTCATAAAATATCCGGATAAATGAGCTTTAGATCTAAAATTGCAAATTATTATTTTTATTTTTTTTTTAATTGACACTGATTTCTTTCATGAGTTATAATGGAGTTTATTGCTGAATATTCTTTTCATGAACTTATGCGATTATCTTGAACGTAGAATTTATTAGTTATCGCGTTCTTTGACTTCACTCTTTTACATCGCACAAAAAAAACTTAGTAATATAATGAATTATATATTTTAAGTCTCAGAAGTATATATTTCATAATGAAAAAAAACTTATCGTGAATGTGACTTTTTCGCTGGCGATAACAAATGTATTTCATTTTTATTGTTTACAACCATTTTTTTTTTTTTTTTTTTTATAAATCACCTAGATAAAATATTTTATTTACGAATATTATGTTGACAAATGAAAAGATTATATACATAAAAAAATAAAATATCAACAAGAAATTTTACGATAAAACGAAAAATAATTAAATCATGTACAGGGAAATAACCAGTTTCAAAATTATTGTCTTTTGAACAAATTACAAACAAACTAAAATTAATGAGTTGTTTGGGCTTTTCTTTTCAATTTTTTAATATTTCTTCGTCGTGTAGTAGTCCTTTTTAGTCGTGTAGTAGTCCTCATCGTATTTCTTTTCCTTGTAGTAGTCATCATCGTATTTCTTTTCCTTGTAATCGTAATCATGAGGTGTACGTTTGTAGTATTCTTGAGATTTAAAATAAGGATTAATATTGGGTTATAAATCGAT